TTAAAGTTCTTCTTGTGTTTTCATTTCACCCGTGATCCTTCTAAGATACCCGAGTTCATGGAAGCCGGGGCTATTGGGCTGCACATGCGATGACCCGCATTCTATCATCTAGCTCTAGATTCACTCCACTCATCTATAACGTGACCATAGTCGGGAGGTTAATGTCAGACTGAATGTCCTGTAAATAAGTGGACTATAACTAGCACAGGTTTCACTCAATTCCTTTGTCTTAAGCATTATCTGCGCGCAGCCTTGTCTCAGTGAAATCACTAAGACTTGCCATAGGATATGATCATCGCTCGGATACCTCTGGACCTATGAGAGTCGATAATTGAGGCATCAACCACCAATTATCGTGATAGATGCGTCGCGATAGCAAGGTATCGTGACACAGCTGCATATATAACTACAGACCTATATATTATACCTATATATATATATATTATAATATATAATATATATATATATACATATCAGCATCACTCAGTGTGTGGCGGAAAGTAATTAACTAGCTGCTTGTAGCATGATCCGGCGCAGAGGAATATGATATAGTATACACAGTATACACTTTTGCTGTTCATTTGCATTATTTGGTGGCCATTGACAAATCTGTGACTTTGTAGGGCCAGAAGCCCACAACCCCCCTGGTCGCTTGCTGACCTTGCTATTAATTTGCACTGACATTTTCGGTCCTCAACACGCGTACAAATATTTGGTGGGACTGTGTCATAGACAAATCTGTGAGGTTGTAGGGCTCTCAAACCCATGGTCGCATGACTGTGTCAAGGGTGTCGATGTAAGGTCGCGAGAATAAAATTTACTTTCTATTAATAGAATTGAAATGTTTATTTGCTTCGTTTTCTTTATGACATTTCAATATTACTCACAGTACCGGCATTATCTGCCATCGGGATGCGCATATTTGGGGCGGGAACATCAAAGGAGGTCGGGAAACATTGATATCAATGGGTGACGTCGCGTGTAAGCCTGTGCGACGTTTAAATGGCAACGTCCTTGCATTGCCGCAGTGCTCAAGCTGCTAAAGATGGCCAAAGGCATCCGAGCTCTGTTGGACACGGTTATGCAGGCGCTTCCACAGGTGGGCAACCTAGGCCTGCTCTTCTTCCTCCTCTTCTTCATATTTGCTGCCCTCGGCGTGGAGCTCTTCGGTAGACTAGGTGAGTATAGAGCTACGATAACACTCCGCATAAAGTCGTTGCACATAGATGCTCCCTAGAACACGGTAATATTCTGAAAGAGCGCAGATCTGTGCACATAGAATTAGGTACTCCTCACAGAATAATACTCAGCAGGGACGCAGGTCCGCCTGACTGCATATGAAGTCGGGTAATCCTTCAATAGTACGGTGATATTCCATACACCTAATGATGCGTGAGTGCGCAGTGCGGTCATAAATTTTAAACGTAAAGAAGAACAGTTTAAAGTAAATCCCCTTCTTCCTCGGTGTCGTTGCAGAGTGCTCAGACGAACATCCCTGTGAGGGTCTTAGCGACCACGCCCACTTCAAGGAGTTTGGCATGGCGTTCCTTACGCTATTTCGAGTAGCAACCGGTGACAACTGGAACGGCATCATGAAGGTATCAAAGGACAATCCATTACATAATGTTAATTTTTATTAATTACTCATTTTAGTTAATCGAGATATGATATTATTGAACTTGCCGTAGCTCGCGTTCCATCACTATTGCTTCGATGAAACCATTCCCCTGGTTCGAATAATTTAGTTAATGATCTCTAAGTCAGAGAAAGGGGAACCATTGTCTGTAACTGGCCCCATTCCTCTGTAACTGCTGGTCAGGCTGGTAGATGCAGCAGTCATGCGTGCATGTATGTGTGAATGTATGTGTGTGTGTGTGCTTGCAGGACACACTGAGAGACGGCTGCAACGCGGAGTCAAACTGTACAGTCAACTGCTGCGTCAGTCCGTTCATCGCACCCATCTACTTCGTGATATTCGTTCTCATGGCACAATTCGTCCTGGTAAGTGTTCTGAACATAATTATATCTCATTGCGTATATATATGTGTCTGTCTGTCTGTCCGTCCGTTCCTCCGCGTCCATCTGGCTCGCTGTCCTCTCTTTCTTCTCTCTCTCTCTCTCTCTCTCTCTCTCGTCCTCTCTCTCTCTCTCTCTCTCTCTCTCTCTTTCTTTCTTTCTTTCTCTCTTTTTTCTC